GATGGTAATAAACAGCAAAACACACACACACACAAAACATGTGACCTTGTCTGACAAAATCTTCAAAGGGACTCCATTTCCAAAATTGAAAGCAACTTTCAATAAATACAGTAATTGATTATAGTTTTAAACAAATACAATTTAAATTATGGAGAAAATAGTTAATAATGTATTTATGGGTACTCAAAATAATGTTTTTATCACCATGAGATTTCTTGGTAAGCAATTCAGGGAAGTAGCCTGCACAAAGCTTCATATAAGTTAAACTGCTTTAGACACTAATAGCTGTAATAGTCCCTCCAAGTACACATTGATGAGACTCCAGACACTGATCTGGATTCTATGTCTAAGGGATGCCTTCATTTTCTAGTGAACACGATAAGCTTTCAGTCAGTTAGTGGTAATTGAGAGAGGCCTACTGCATTTCACATAACCAGCAACTAAGTGCTAGGATTGATTACAGGTAAAGTATATCCTATCTGGCTCCCGTAGTGGTTGTGGCCTAGTAAAGGTGACTGGGGTTTTAATCTTGACCACAGCTGTGTGATCTTGGGCAAATTACTCCAACTCCACATACCCTGATTTCTTTATGGGTAGTTTTCTATGAGATAATTCATTTAAAGCACTTAGTACAGAAACTGACATATTGTTTTCCCAAACAATCATTGTAGATGTTATTACCATTGTTTTAGTCTCAATTGATTTTTCAAAAAGATGAAGTTAATGATAATATGATTTCCAGAGTGGTTGCACAAATCTGCAGTCCCTCCAGCAATGTATGAGTGTACCTTTTCCTTCACATCCTTGCCAATATTTATTGTTACTTGTATTCTCGATAATTGCCATTCTGGCTAGAGTGAGATGAAGCCTCAGTGTAGCTTTAATTTGCATTTCTCTAATTGCTAGAGATGTTGAACATTTTTTTCATATATTTCATACTTGTATAATTATATCAAAATGAATTCTACTGTAATGTATGACTAAAAAAAACCCAATGAAATAAAAAATAAAATATACATCAAAATTTTAAAAATAATAATAATCTCTGCTGTAGTGAGAAATAAATGAGGTACATATAGAATGTCTGAGAGAAAGTAATCACTCAAGTGAAGTGATTTCTTCATCCCTTTCTGACCATAAAAGAACCCACATTTATCTCTCTCTTCATTTGCAGGATCGTTGACTCTGTTTTGGGTAAGTTTGTTGGACTAAAATGGTCTTTTATCCTCTGAATTTTGAAGAATATTTCAGTAAATTTGCAGGGCTGAATAAGAGATATGTGGTCTTTAATGTTCCCTGAGCCAGAATTTTTCCACAGTTGTTTCTATCTGTGGGTCATTAAGCTGGCTCCGTCAGTTGGAAGTATTCAAGATGGGAACATCAGGAAGTACCTAGCAGGCACTTCTTCTCTGCACGTGAATCGGCAGAATCAGGCATCAGAGTCTGAAGCCAAAGCCAGGCCTTTTCTAATTCTAGAGATAGATTCCTTTCCTTTTTTCTAATGCTTGTATGTAGAACACAAAGAAGCTATTATGGGAGCCATATGCACAAACAGGTTCTGATTGGGTTGAGAATGTTGGATTTCCCCTGTGCTGCATTCAGAGTTAGTCTTCATGTTCTGCTACTCTGGGTGATGGTCACCGCCATTATTCAGGACTATAAATAATATAGGTTCAATTGTTCAGTAGCAGGATTAGATACCAGAGTCAACAGACGGAGTGTCATCTATAGCAAGTTATGGTACTGCGGATGTCGACATGACCTATATCAACTCTAAGTCCTCAAGCAGGAGATCTGAACTGATGATCTGAAATCAGGAGAAGAAGAAATAATGCCTGGGGCAAACAGCTTCAGACTCTCTGAATCCAAATAGTGAATGCAATAGTTCAATGAATTGCCCTTCAGAATTTGCAATGTTTTCGACTGAGCTGGTGGGTTTGCAACACTGGATTAAATTGAAATCCTCACTGATCCGAAGGAAGGAGTGGGATCTGAGCAGGTTCAGCGGCTTCTCTGCTTTTGTCTTGGAGTGGAGACTGCTCTTGAAAGCAGCTCCTGCTGCCTTGACAATTTCCCGGCCTCCTTTGGATTATGGAAATAGCGACCACAGTAGAGTTGCTGTTCTTCTTGTTCTATGTTGTAGTCTTTCTCCCTGTCTGTGTTTCTTTCTTAATTAGGATTGTCTGCCATCTCTCACTACTGAAACATAGGTAAAGCCCTAGTTCTCTAGGCTTCTGAGGAGCAACATGATCAGCAAGACCAGCTTTTGACAGCAAAATGAAATCATTTTTAATGTTAAACAAAATAGCTGCAGGATTCCACCTGCAGCCAGGGTCTGACTGGGAAATGATAAAAGATGTGTTCAGGATGTTACTCACTGATCAAATGGATAGCCTTTAGACAAAGCTTTAAAAAAAGAATCCCAACCTAAAAGCCACACAGCAGTAAGCCCCAAATGTAGTAAAAAATTGAGCCACTTATAAGAGAGATTAGCATAGCCTTGATAGGGACCCAGGTGGGGACACCATGGAAGGGAGCTATGTTTTTCTTGTGGATGGGTTTAAACCTTGAGACAAATATGTTTTGGGGGAAATATAACTTTTTGTGTGTACCACACTTGTCTAGGGAAGAAATATTCCAAAGACCCCAAAGGTCATTTCAGTGAGCTCTACTGTAGTAATCTTTACTGGGCAAGATGTTTGACCCCTTCAAATAGCTTCATATTTGCTGTGAAGTTTAGCTTTAACTCTCAGAAGTCTATGGAGGAGAAGGTATTGACTTAGGAACTAGAGGATTGTGGGAGACTGGACAAACAGGGGCCATCTGGGGAAGACTGCACCATGATTCCTACCTCTCAGGTGAGGCTTAAATTGCTATGGTGCAGGAATCAGCATGGTTGTACCTGTGAAAAATGAATGAGGGCACACAGAACCTATTAATCTCCAAAGGCTTTCATTTTATCAACCAAAAAGCAGCTTTGCTGGGCCAAAATTATAGTCTCTTAACCACATGAAGACATGCACTTTCCTAGTAAAGGCAGTATTTAAGGCATGTAAATGAAGGTTCTCTATGTGTGTTTTGGGTGTGCTGATGGTGCAAAACATTAATTTAAATCAATGGGGCGGTAATACCTGTCCCATGCAGTATGCAGATTGCCCTCACGAACGTCACTTGGAAATCATACAGGAGCATTCCTTTCACAGTTCAACAACACACTTTGGAAGAGGTCGTTTTGATTGGAGTCATTTCTTGGCCTTAGGTTCTTCCTTTTATAATATGCTGTTGACTAAACACACACATACACACACACACACACTCCACAGTGAGGAAGGCTATGGGTAACCTGTGCTTGTGGTGCACTCCTTTCTTTCCCTGTAAAAGTTTCCAGGTGATAATAAAAAACATTAGCATGTGTACACGGCAGAGAAAAGCCACAGGGTAATCATTAACCTCAGGTAAGCTGCAGGCCTCTCTCTCTCTTATCCTTTTCCTGCAGAGATGACAGAACAGGTGGAGTAAAGAAGGCAGTTGGTCCTAGGTGGGAAGTGGGGAGCATGTCTTAGAAGAATCTGTGGTCTGTGACTATCAGGGGCTGACAGTTGATGCACACCTTCCCTGACAATCCCTGATGCGTGTCTTGGTGCTTTATTCAGGCAGAGAGTAAACTACCTTACAATAACCATAGGTGCCAAAACTCACTGATGCTTCTGATTTCATCACCCCTGGACTGGGGTATGGGTGGGGCGTGCCAGAATACTGTACCCAGGGCTAACTCTTTAAAAAGTATTTAAGCTCTTGACATATCTTCATGTGTAGGCATAATCACTACTTTGGGGATTATGATATTTAGGGAGGGGAGGTGATGGGAAGTCTTGGATCCTCAGCTGAAGTCTGAGTTCCTTAGACAAGTGCCCTATAAATTTAAGGTATAATCATCTGGATCATTGTGGTCCTTATTCCCATCTCAACAAGTCTGTAGATGTGGAGTTGGAGATAAAAAGTCTTTGGAATGCAGTCTTGAGAGCCATGAAAAATGTGGACCCTGGAAAGGAACAGAATCCTGCTGACCATGTCTTGGGGCTTGTGGACTCATGAACTTCACAGGAACAGGGTAGCACCGTCCAGCTCACTTTCCACACCCGCTTTGTCCCATATTTGTGGCCCCAGATTGAGTGTGACTACTGTGGCTACTGAGGAAAATAATACCTCAAATCATCCATGTAACGTCAACTAATGGTACTGAGAGGACATCCAAAAGAAAATCTGATTTACCCCACATACTGAAGAAATAAAGAGAAATTTCTGAGGAAAATCTGGGAAATAGTAGCCAAGGCCCTAGAGTGAAGGTATACAGCGAGGAAGAAAAACGTCAAAAGAGGAAAGAAAACTTCCAAGGAGGTTTAGCTGAAACGTGGCTAGAGGCAAGAAGATCTACTCAGGTGGTTTGTGGAGGGGTGCCAGACGCTGGCTGGCTTCTCCATCTTGTGTAGGCAAATGTTAGAAAATCTACCTTGCTCACTTATGGTGTGGTTATGAGTTCCTTGGGACCACTCAGAAACCAAATGGGTTCTGCATCTAGATTTTCTCAAAAGAGCAAAAAGTATGTGCTGATGAACTTGGAGCAAGAGGATTTGGGAAACACTAACCTAGAATTTAAAACATACTTTTTTTAGTTTCCAAGAAAAATTCAAACTAAAGCAAATTGAGGGGGAATGGAGAACCCCGACTATATTGGATGATATCTGGCCTGAGAAAGAAAATATACAAGTGCAATTAAAATGAAAATGCCTAAAGGAAAAGGGAGGAGAGAATGGAATTATGTTAATTGCTTTTATTGTAATTATTAGTAATTATTTTAAATAGAATGATATTGAGTATTTTCACATGGCTTAACTGTTCCAATGTTATTGCTATTTTATTTTCTAAGCTTTTTTTTTTTTTTTTTGATTATCTGAATACTTGATGTATCTGAACTCAGAATTCTCATTTTATCCCTGCAGGGTTTTTATGTTGGAGTTGAAATAACAAGCTTGGTACTATCAAGATATGCCAATTCAAACAAAATGAGAAGAGATCAAATAAATAATAGCCAACTAGGATATGTGGAGATGTTTATTGAGTTGCATCATATTCTTGTTTTCTGTTGATGTTCTTCGCCCTGTTTGTCCTTGAAGATGAGGGTAATCTTTCAGGTCATCCAGTACAGAGACAGCCTGTGGATCATTGCGTCTTAAGAAATAAAGGACCTTAGAGATCACAGCCTTCCAATCTATGTTACCTGTATTCGGATAATCTAGAATCAAAATCTAGCCTCTGCCTGAACTCTTAAGTTTATGAGGCTGACAGCTACATCATTTTCTGAACTGTTCCAAATTATGGAAGCATTTTATTTAAGCTACAGGATGTTCAGTGGAATTTTTTGCTGTTGTCTACAGATGCCCACGAGTTGGAAAACAAAACATTCTAAATTAAGAAGGAGCTAGACTTGCAAATGAGGTGATCTTAAACTGGGTCTGCCTGAACTAGCTATCGCTCACTTCAGGCATAGCAAGGTTGAGTGACTTCAGGGAAGATATAACTTTGGGGAATATTTTCTGTGTGCCATAGTGTGAGAGTCCATCTTTACCTCCCTACGCTAAGTACAAAGGAGGATCCGGCTAAAACTTCATGTTAGTCAGTTTTCCATTGCTATAACAAATACCTGAGACAAACAACATATAGAGGAAAGGTTTATTTTGACTCACAGCAATGGAAGTTTCAGTTGATAATTGGTTGGAGCTGTTGCTTGGGACTGGTGGTGGCACATCATGTCAAGAATGTATGTTGGAATAAAACTGCTCATCTCATGACTAGAAGTGAAAAAGAGAGGAAGAGACAGAGATCTCACCATTCCCTTCAAAGGTACACCCCCAATAACCTAAATGCCTCCTACCTCTTAATGATATACCACCTCCAACAGCACCACCCTGGTGAACAATCTTTCACCACATGAACCTTTGGAAGAAACTTAAAATTCAAACTATTCACAAAACCTGACATGTAATCCAAAGGTTTCACCAAAAAACTATCAGAACTAATAAATTTAGCAAAGTTACAGGATACAAAATGAACATGCAAAAAATCAGTAGTATTTCTTTATGTCAAGAGCAAATTTTGTGAAATGGAAATCCAGAAAACAATTCTATTTTCAATAACTACAACAATAAAAACAACTAGAACTCAATTTAACCAAAGAGGTGAAAGATCTCTACAATGAAAACTATAAAACATTGATGGAACTAATTGAAGAGGAGATTTTAAAAAATGGAAAGACATCATGTGCTCATGGATTGAAAGTGACAGTATTTTTTAAATGCCCATATCACCCAAAGTGATCCACAGAGAAAATGCAATCCCTATCAAAGTTTCAATGAAATTTTTCACAGAACTAGAAAAAAATCCTAAAATTTGTATGAAACCATAAAAATCCCTGACGTTACTGAACTTCAATATATACTAAAAAGCAATAGTCATTAAAATAGCACGACACATGGAACAGAATAGACAGTCTAGATATAGACTCACACATTGACAGCCAACTGATTTTTAACAAAGGTTTTAAGAACATTCATTGGAAAAAGGACAGTAATTTCAATAAATAGTGCTGAGAAAATTTAATAGTCACATGCAGAAGGAAGAATGTAGGCCTCTATCTCTCACCACTCACAAAAATCAACTCAAAATAGATTAACAATTTAAATGTAAGACCTGAATCTATGAAACTACTAGAAAAAAACAGTTAAAATGCTTTAGAATATTGGATAGGCAAGGTTTTATGGATAAAACCCTGAAAGCACAGGAAACAAAAAATTAGACAAATGGGTTATAGGAAGCTAAAAAGAACAGCAAAAGAAACAATTAGGATGAAGAGACAACCTACAGAATTGGGGAAAACATTTGCAACATGTACATCTGACAAGATATCAATGCACAGAACGTAAAGGGAATGCAAAAATGCAAATGAAAAAAATTCCACAAATCACCTGATTTAAAGATGGACCTAAGCAGACATTTCTCTAAAGAAGAGATGCAAGTGGCCAATAAGTGTTTGAAAAAATACTCAGCATCATGGAAATACTCAGCATCAGGGAAATGCAAATCAAAACTACAATGGGCTATCACCTCACCCCAGCAAAATGGCTATTATCAAAGACTAAATATAACAAGTGCAGATGATAATGTAGAGAAAATGGAAGACTTTCACACTCTTAATAGGAATATAAATTAGTATAGCCATTATGGAGAAAGCATAGTCTTCTCAAAAAACTTAAAAAAAATACTATATGATTCAAAATTCCACTACTGGGTTTATATCTCCAAAGGAAATAAAATCAGGACTGGTATAGGTCAGTTGCTCGCGTACTTGCCTAGTGTACACAAGGCCCTGGTTCAATCCCCAGCATCACCAAAATAAATAAATAAACAAACAAACAAATAAAACAATAGCCCAAAATGGAAACAACGTAAGCATCCATCAACTGATAAACAGATGAAGAAAGTGTGGTGTGTATATATATATATACAATGGAATAATACAAGCTATAAAAAAGGAATGAAATTCTTTCATGCGTAACAATATGGATGGAGCTAGAGAACATCATGTTAAGTGAAATAAGCCAGGGACAGAAAGACGAGTGTTGCACGTTCTCACGTACAGGTGGGGGTCTTAAAAAGTTGATCTCATAGAAAGATTGAATGTTAATGACTAGAGACTGGAAGGGCAGGGAAAGATGGGGTGGAGATGGGCTGATCAAAGAGTACAAAGTTACCGTTAGAAATGTATAAGAGATTCTGGTGTGCCCTGGCACAACAGAGTAAGTACTGATAACAATAATGTACTGTATATTTCAAAATGCTAGAAAATTTTTGAAAATTTTACCATAAAGAAAAGATAAATGCTTGAGATAAATGTGTTTAACCTGATTTAAACATTATACAATGTGCATATATATATTGTAACAACACATGTACCCCATTACTGTGTATCATTTATGTAGATAACATATACATATATTATATTTCAGTTAAGATAAGTTTAATTAATAAAAATGGTACCTGATATGTATTGGTCAAGCTCTGGACATTTGGAAACAGGACACTTGAGTTACTCTTAAACAGTTTGCTGGTGACAGGCTGTGGGTGGAGCTGCCCTTGCTGGTGGCAGTGGGAAGAAAAACTCTGGGAATGAGCTGCACTTGTTCCAACTGTAGACAGATACATGTCCTTGCCAGTGCCTAGACCTGAATCTCATTGGGGGAAACTGCAGAGAGGGCAGCTTGAAAGGGTCCAGTCCAAAAGGACTGCATAAAGGGCAGTAAGATCCCACCAGGTGGGCCACAGGAAGCTCAGAGTAGTCACAAGCAGCCAGCTGGAGATGTGATCTTGCTCAAGTTGACCTACATTTGGCAAATCCTCAGGAAGTTTGTCAAAACATCAGTGAGAGAAACCATCCCTGGGAGAGCCTTGGTAGGGCTCCACCCACCCCATACGACTGAGCCATTTCTGCTGAGTCCTCCCTCTGTACTGGGTTTGTCCCTGGAGCCATCAAATGGAGCACAGAGGTGGAGGGAGGACAGAGGGGTACAATCCCTCAGGTGGTTCAGATTGCAGCCAGATGCAGGGGAAGGAGACATTTCAATAGGATAAGGTTCAACATTTTTATGTTATTGGATGGGGCTTTTGAAATTATTTGGCACAATCTGTAATCCCAGTAATTTGAGAGACTGAAGCAGGAAAATTACAAGTTTGAGGCCAGCCTGGGAAATATAGTGAGACCCTATAAAAAAATAAAAAGCAAAACAAAAAAATGGGCTGGGGATGTGGCTCAGTGGTACAGTACCCAAGATTAAAACCCTAGTATATTATTATTATTATTATTATTGAAATATGATATTCTTCTAAATAAATGGGGCAGAGAGTCTTGTCCTAGATGCCACCAAGGATGGGAAAAGAGGAATACCTTATAATTATGTGACTGGTCAGAGGGCAAAATAATACCTAAATTGATGGTAATTGATTTCCTCTTGCTTCAACTTTGGTTTTATTTGTGGCTCTGCAGACACATGGAGATAATTTACTCATTTACCACATCCAATGCCTTCAAATATTTGAAAATAACACCTATGGGCTCTCTGATATCCTTTTTATTCAAGGCCCCAAATCTTCTAATTCTCTAGCCATTTTTCATGTGACCATTTTCATTCATTACCAGTCCAGTCACCCTCTTCCTACTTCCTTCAAGGTTTACACCATTCCTCTTTCAAACAGGATGTCTTGCAAATGCTCTCTGCATATAGTGAGGCTGATTCAGTCACTACTCCTGCTCTACCACACTCCATGGTTATCATAAAACTATTATACATCGGGACCAAGAATAATTATCTGAACACTTATGAGAAAGCACATATTGAATGTGTAAATTGGTGATTTTTCCAATAAATTAGTGCTAAAGGTTAAAATTTGAGCCAGATATATTTTAAAAATAAGGCCATTCTTTCATGTAGGTGGAATGGTTAGGTAGGGGCCAATATGGTAAGATTTAAAGGTTAGAATTAGGCAGAATGTATTTTACTACTCTGGTGCCTTAAATGCTAGTGATTCATTTGGTGTTTTCCACTGACCAGAAACAACTTTAGGAAAGTCCCTTGTATTCCAGTATATTGTTTTTCCTTAACCGTAAAATTAGAAGCTGATGGGACTGAATTCAATTCCATAAATATTTAATTGAGTACTCTATATAAGGTACTATATTATCATGTAATAAGTGATGATTGCTCCTAAAGGAAGCTAGACAAATGTCCAACTAACATGGTTTATCCCAGAACAAACTGGTATAAACTAGAATACAACACAATGAAGGTCCATATTGGCTTTCAAAATATTTGTCAGGTGGGTGGGAAGGAACCTTAGTAGCAGAGCATGTTCTCAGCATATGTGAGGTCTGGGGTCCCCAGAACCACACACACAAACTCTGTTTAACAATTGAATTAGTCCAGTGTAGTAAGACCCCAGACAGGTGGATGCAGGCCCTGTCTAGTTCTATAATTCAGTGATTTTTGAACTGACTCCCCCTTAAGAGAGTTTCTTTGTGTAATATTACTTAGACATGTGAATATTCCTAAGGTGCAACTTATTAGATATGTTTTTTTTTTTCTCTCTCAAATAAATTTCTCAGGTCAGTTCACATTGGCTGTCATGTCAATTTCAGAAAACTGGAGAACAGAAGGTTTCTTGATAGCAGGTCAGAGCTGACAAGAGAGGAAGAAAACAGTGTTCAGAAAAGGTGGATGCAGATAGGCAGGACTGTATTTACTTGACAAATGTGCTATGCTTGTTCGTTTGGTTGTACACAACTGAACCTCCAGTTGCTGGGAGTTTTGTTTCTCAAAAACTGCATGTGGTTTGAAAGTTTGTTCAAAGCCACATGAAGTTTGGAATAATGAAGTTGAAGCTGAAATTAGTTTGACAACTTTCATCCATAAAATGGAACTAAACAGAGCCTGTTGGTAGAAGATTCTATGGAGAATAAAGAGTCTCAAAGAGCCAGAGGTTGGAGTGTTGTGAACTGAGGAAGTGGAGAATGGCACAGGGGTTTCCCCAAGAACTGCGTAATTCCAACCATGTGTGTTTTACAGGAAGTCCCTGATGCTGACCTGACTTGCACATAACTATTAAGCAGGAAATGTGAAATGAAAAATTAGATAAAGCATACATTAGGGAATCCATTTAAGTCAAGAGTGTGTAACTGGAGGGGCTGAGGTTGGGGAGGAGTACATGTATGTATGCATGCAGATTTTTTTTAAGGTACAAAGTAGCTTTTTGACTCTATGGTCTATTTGAACATGTGCAATTACATTATGTGCTCAAAAGAAGTTATATATTGGCATGTGTTATGGCTGACCTGTGCCCATTTCCAAAACATATATGTTTTTTTGTAAAGTCCCAACCTCCAGTCAAGAATAAACTTATTTGGAAGAGTCTTTGTGGGTGTAATTCAAGTTAAGATGAGGTTATAGTGCATTAGGGTGAACCCTAATCCGATAAGACTCATATCTTATCAGAAGTTAAGGGACAGAGACATGGGAGAAAATGGACATGTGGTGACAGAGGCCCAGAATGGAATGACGCATTCACTGGTCAAAGAATGTCAAAGATTACTGCAACCACCAAAAGCTGGAGGAGGCACCGAGTGACTCACCCTGCATGGTTCAGAGGAAGCATGGCCCTGCCATCCCATGGATTCTTGGACTTCAAGCCTCCAGAATGTTCAAACCATATATTTCAGTTGTTTTTAAGCCACTAGGTTTGTGGTACTTTGTTAGGACAGTTTTGGGAAACTATTACAGAATGGAGCTACACTCTGAATGGTACAAATTTGGGCTGTTTACCGTAAACAGATTGTGAGCTGTATGAGAGGGAGCTGTGGAGGGTCATTTTAGATCCTATTCTAACAGGCTGCTTGAAAGGACGAGGAAAACTAGGCAGAAAGATAATGGAAGTATATGGCCAAATACCAAGGGCTTGGAGAAGAGTCCAGGCAGTCAGGTAGGGAGTTCCTGCCGTGGGGATTGCTAGCTAAAGGTTTCCTCTGATGCAGATTTCCAAGATCCCACAAAGGTCCTGCAAGGACAGGGGTCTGCTTACACACCAATGCAGCCATCTCCACACCTAGGTAAAACTTTCTTATCTTTTTTTCATTCTACCTCCTCTGCTTAGATCCTGATTAGGAGAGGTAAGAGCTCCTCAGAAGCAAGCTGATGGAAGAGATATTGAAGCAAAAAGAGGGTTAAACAGGGAAGAAGACCATCATTTTTCCACCTTCCTCCTCTGACGGTGGTCAGTGTGAATCAAGAACAAAGTCTGGAGTTATATTGCCATAGGCAGGACATAATAATGTCCCAGGACTGGATGGATACTTGAAGAAGATTTCTCAATGATCTTAGCTTGGCAGGAAAACCACAAAACCTTCCCTTGATCCCATGCAAACTGGGAGTGTGCCAGGATATGAGTATTGGAATGATTACCTGTGGTTGGGTGTGGATTAGCAGACTTGAGAAGAGAATGGTGTTTTTCTCCACGCTACCATACGGGTACAATATGAGCCTGGCTGTTATCTTCCAGGAAGGCCCCAGAGTTTGTGACAAAATGGTGGGATTCATTAAGTGCACAGAATCAGAACACCAAATGGTCAGTAATAATAATGTTGAAAATAACAATAACCAGATTTTATATACAACACCAAATTTCAAATATAACCAAATTTCAAATACAACACTGTGATTGACCATAGAGATAAAGTGGAATGAGAGACAAGATCTCACAGAGACACAGGACACCTAGGGTTCTTGGTTATCTGATGGTACTGTGAGATATCAGCAAGTGGCCTAGCTCATCCAAGAATCATTAGTCAAAATTATCTGGTGGATTGGAAATAGATTTCTGGACAATAGTTACAGAAATTTGGAGTTAATAAATTTGAGGTTGGGCCTTCAAAGCTCTAGTTTTATAAAGCTCCATATAGGTTAGATTAATGCAAAATTAATTGGGGAATCTACTAATAAGATGATATCTTAAATTATTTTGAGCCCCGGTTTTATCTATTTTTAAGTTTTAATAAAAATAATAATAATAATTGCCATTTATTGGATGCTGAATATGTGCTATTTCAGGTACCTTACATACATATCCTCTGGTACAATGGTCTTCAACAGTGGATCTTATTTCTATACTCATTTTCTGAAAGGACGCTGACATTTCTTTCTTTGAAAAGCTCAGAAATTTTCCTAAGGCTATGTGTGGAATCCACCTGGAATTTGTCCCTAGGTTTATGGACAAATTTACATGTGTGTGTGTGTATATATATATATATATATATATATATATATATATATATATATATAGACTTATGCCCTTCACAGTACAATTTAAATATGGTTCCTCATGCTTTAGTTAACTTTTATGCACTTATGATTTTCACAATCTTTTCCCTTCTGACCTTTATTTATCATCCTTTATTTTTTCTATTAGTTTCTTCCATTCCTTTATTTCTCTCCCCCTTTCTGTAATTCAAGGCAGTGCTTATAAGCCTCCCGTAAGTGCTCATTTCTCTTTTTTAACTTTAAAACATTGGATAAAGTCATTTCATGTTGGAAATGGGTGCAGGCTTTCATGGCATCCAGAGCTAAAGGGTGAGTGGGTTTAACATGGATCGGGCATAAATAGCAGTTAGTCCTGTGAGTCAGCTAAAGAAGAAGTGATATCTCAGAATCTCTCCTGAGATTCAAAGGAAGAATAAAATTTTTTAAAATAACTTTTTTTTTTTACGTCTTGGCTAGATTTTTTAGAAAACAAATACTTATGCTTGAGTATTTAGCGGGGGAGGGGGGCATGCTTTGGATTGAGGTCACTGATTTAAATTCTACCCATTCCTTCCCTTTCGTACCCAATTGCCTTTGTCTCCCTCCTGCCTCTGTTTAATTGGAGCTTTTTTCAAACTTGAGCTGATCTGAATGGAGTTACAAAGTGAAATTAACCAATTCCCTTGGAAGGAGCAGGGGTACAATGCTTTAGGAAGCTTGTTAATTCTTCTCTTCACTCTGCCTCCCTGCTCTGCTCTCAGGCCTCAC